CCAAAGCCGGAATCTTTTGCCCAAAACAAATTCTGAACCTTACTGCCTCATCACTTATCTCCCCCTTACCTCCAACTTACCGTAGTGCACTGAAAGATCCAAACTGGCACGCTGCTATGTGTGATGAATATAATGCATTGATCAAGAATGAAACATGGGAATTAGTACCCCCCCCTCCCCCACCCAAAATATAATCTCTGGTAAATAGCTCTTTAGACACAAACTTGGCCCATCAGGTGAGTTATCCAGGTACAAGGCCCGTTGGGTGGTCCGCGGCTTCAACCAGCGCTTTGGCGTCGACTACGACGAGACCTTCAGCCCCGTTGTCAAACCTGCTACAGTCTGCATCATTCTTAGCATTGCTCTGTCCAGAGGATAGCCCATTCACCAGCTAGACGTCAAAAATGCCTTCCTCCATGGTCAGCTACAGGAGACAGTTTACGCCAATCAGCCTCCTGGGTTTCAGGATCCAGCTCGTCCTCACTATGTTTGTCGACTCAAGAAGGCTCTCTATGGACTCAAGCAGGCACCGCGATCGTGGTATCACAGATTTGCCAGTTTCATTCAGACCATTGGGTTTCGAGGGTGCAAGTCGGACACATCACTGTTTGTCTTCTCTCATGCCATGGGTACTGCCTACCTACTCCTGTACGTTGATGATATTGTTCTCACAGCATCTTCCACAGCACTTCTCCAGCATCTCATCCAGCGGCTTAAGGCCGAATTTGCTATGACAGACATGGGGGACCTACATTTCTTCCTTGGCATCAACGTACACACGACGACCAGTGGCCTCTTTCTCCACCAGACATAGTTCACTCATGACATACTTGAGCAGGCCGGGATGGTATCTTGTCGCCCCATCTCCACCCCAGTGGACACAAAGGCAAAGCTCTCCTCCTCATCAGGCACTCTGCTCCCCGATCCTACTCTTTATCGATCTGTTGTTGGAGCTCTACAGTACCTTACATTCACTCGCCCTGACATCACTTATGTCGTCCAGCAGCTTTGCCTACACCTTCATGCCCCCCGTGATGCTCATCTCACAGCCATGAAGCGTGTCCTGCGCTATCTTTGTGGCACCTCCACCCATGGCATCCACCTGGCACGATCATCCACCGACTCCCTGCAGGCATACTCCGACGCTGACTGGGCCGGTTACCCAGACACCCGACGTTCCACCTCTGGATACTGTGTTTTTCTCGGTGACAATCTAGTCTCCTGGTCCTCCAAGCGCCAGGCCACCACTTCTCGTTCCAGCATCGAAGCCGAGTATCGCGCCGTGGCCAACGCTGTAGCAGAGACGAGCTGGATCCGGAATCTTCTTCTTGAGCTGCAGCAACCCCTTCGACGTGCCACCCTTGTTTTTTGCGACAACGTCAGTGCTGTGTATCTCTCGACAAATCCTGTGCAGCACCAGCGCACCAAGCACGTGGAAGTTGATATTCACTTTGTCCGTGACAAAGTAGCACTAGGCCATGCACGCGTTCTCCACGTTCCCTCGTCTTCGCAGTATGTTGACATCTTCACTAAGGGACTGCCTTCTTTATTATTTCTGGACTTCAGACAAAGCTTGGAAATCAGACCTCCTCCACATCCGACGTAACCGGGAGCATGTTAAATATATTGTATATATTTAACATATTGTATTATTCCCTTACCTTATTTGTATAGGTTTCCTTACTTGTGTCTCTCCTACCTTGATTAGGATTGAGACTCCCCTTATATATATACATGTAATCACAACTCTTTTGATCAATGAAAATCATAATTCTTCATGTGAAATCGCTCACCCCGGGCGCCCCTCACCCCTGATCCGACGGGAATGTGAGAGGAGGTAAATCACGGTGACTCAAGCACAACACTTAGCTAGATCATATCCTAGTGCGTACTAGAGACTCCCCCCATTTTTCAGAGGTGGTCGCCCCCACACGGTCGCTGCCAGGTTTCGATCCTTGGTCATTATATTCTCCAAACTTCACCAAGTGCTTGCCACTTGGGCTACCCGTGCGGGTATTTGAATCACCTTCAAGAGTCCATATGAACATGATGTTTGACTCAAATTTTGCAGATAGAATTGCCCCGTCTAAATAGGGGAAATTGCACCAGTACTCTTCGTGGTTTGATAAATAGGTACCAATACCCTTTGTTTTCAAAACTTATTCCTAAAGTTCTCGTGGTTAAAAAACGTTGCACCCATACCCCCTCGGATAATTTTAAGGTCATTTTTTCGGGAAGAGGGGGCGTTAGTGCCTATTTTTCAAACCTTATAGGAGACTCATGCTCATTCTTATTTTTTCATTTATTCTTTTCCCCCTTTTTTTTTCTTTTATTAACATATACTGCATATGTATATCTCATATTAACAATCTTATTTTTTTCAAAATAAAAAAGTAATTTTTTTAAGACATTCAAAAATGAGGAATAAAATAAGAAGTTAAATAATACAAAAAAATGAATATCCTTTTTGGACATCCCAATTCTAAAGACTTTTTAGGCATGTTGAAAATTCATATTTATATAAGACTTTTTTTTGTATGTTTCAATTTTTTTCATTTCATTTTCTATATTTTTAATTTTTATTATGAATTTTCTTTTTCAACTGACCAAAAAAATTATTCTAGAAAACAAAAGGTGAAAATGTTTAATTTGAGATAACAAGTAAATGTTTTTTTTATTTTGACGGAGATATCGAGCCTAGAACTATGGCCTATATTTTATGGGCTTCGAAGGAGCAGACAAGGCCCATAAGTAAGTGAATGTGAGGCTCCAAGCTTGGCCTCGTCCCTCTCAAGCTCGACCACGTTCCAATCAAGCTCGGCCTCACCACTCTCGGTCCTGCAACTAGGCTCATTAGCATCAAACCTTAAGGAAGATGGATTCAAGCTCGCCCATCATGAGCACACTAAGGGTCGAGCTCGACCATAAGCACAACATGGGTGCGCTCGGCCATCACCACACCAGAGAGAGTTTGGCAAGGTTGGCCAGTGGACGAGCTCAACACCAATCAGCTCTAAGTGGTCAACCGCTCGAGAACAATGATCCAACCTCTCCCATGTGGACAATCCTTGATTATGATGAAAAAGAGACATGTCATAATATAGGTCAAACGTAATTAATGAACTCATGTGTGGTAACCTAGGATAGTTGGACTAACCCATTACTTTTATTGTAAAAATAGACCTCCTCATTCAATATGGAGGGGATCGGATTCTGAATTATTCAAGTCATATTACAAGATTCCATCTTTTCTATAGTTTGAATTACTCTTTCCCCTTAGAATCCATCAAATTTCAAACACAAAGGAAAAGAAATTTGAAAAACTTTTTCAAATTAAGGAAACAAATAGAAAAAAAGTTAGAAAAAAAGAAAAAGATCAGATAAAAAATAAAAAAAGAAATGATCATGAGTGTCTCATATAGATTAGAAAATAGGCATCAATGTTTCCTCTTTCCCGGAAAATGAGCAAAGAGGATGTGAGTGTAACGTTTTAAAATCACAAAGACTTTAAAAATAAATTTTAAAAACAGATGAGATATTGATACTAATTTTACCAAACACAGAAGCACTGGAACTATTTGGCCCATCAAAATATTAAGGGGGGTGTATTCAACTTAGATTTTAAAAGATTATGCTAGGTTTTTTATAATCCATGGATTATGTAAGATTTATGGATTATCATAAATCTCTATAGACTTCAATGTATTTCAATTTATTTTATTGTAAAGATTTATCAAGATTCTAATGGATTGTTCTCATCCCAAATTGGTTAAAAAAGAAAAAAAATAAAAAAGGAGACGGAATGCTTTGGAATTTGGATGGAACGTTGCCGTCGCCAAGCCGGCCCCCAAGCCGCCTCCCGCTCTGAACGTCGTCGTCGCCGAGCGGGCCCCCAAGCCGCCTCCCGCTCCGAACGTCGCCGTCGCTGAGCCGAGCCCCAAGCCCCAAGCCCCCTCCCGCTCCGAACATTAGCGTCGCTGAGCCGGCCCCCAAGCCGCCTCCTACTCCAAACGTCACCGTCGCCGAGCCGGCACCTAAGCCGCCCCCATCCCGCCGCAGATGATGGAGAGGAGCCTCCTCCACAGAAAATTAGCACAGAAAAATCAAAGGAATTAAAATGGAATAGAAGAAAGACCTGGATCTGAGAACCAAAAACTTTTCATAAGGAATGAACAATGCGAAACACCAAATTGACACCAAAAACACAGTGGAAAGGAGGTCTGAGACTAGAAGGTGAAGATGAGAACACAGATAAAGAGAGGGTGGGAGGGTGAGGAAGAGATTGGAAGGTCTGGTCTATGGTGCGTTGGATGAAGGCAGAGAAGATGAACAGAACCCTGTTGCGGAAGAAAGGCTTTGTGCGGAAGAGAGTAGCAAAATCCTAGGGCTTTTGACTGGATTTGGAATTGGATTTGTATTTATACTTAAGGCATGAAAATCCATCAAACTCTACCTTATTAAAAATCCTAAAAAATCTAACAATTTTTGAATACCATCATATTTAGAAAAACTATTTAAAATCTGAATTGAATACACCTATATTTGGAATGATTTTTTAAAATCTAAATTGAATACCTATAGATTTTCAGAATTTAAAAAAATCTATTAGAATCTTGATTGAATACACCCCTAACTAAAACTTTGGTCCGTATTGTAATTTCAAACTCAGCTTAAATCTAGTCCAGAATTTAATTTTGTGCGGGTCTACCAAATCGCCATTTGGAGAATTGGACTAATTGCCTAAAAGCCCTAAACCATGAGTAACGGCTAGGCATCCACTTCCTCCATTTGAAAACTCAAAATTCCCAATTCTTTCCCGACCAGACCCTAACATCTCTATCGCTCTCTCCTTCTCTCGCTCGCTCGCTCTCAATTGTTCCTGGACTTGGTTTCAGTTCTTGATAAACTCTTGGGGGGGCTTTGTGATTGTACTGGGTCGAGTTTTCAGGGGCTTCGAAAATCATGGAGATTCCGCCTGAAACAGACAATTACATTCGAGAATCTATCGAGCACTCCCTAGGTCTCCCTGTTTCTAAAGAAACTCTTCAATCGAAGCTTGAAGCCTCCCAACAATCAGAATTCCTGCTTCGCAATCAGTGCCTTTTCTTGCAGTCCAAACTCAAAGAAAAAGATGGCGTCCTTGAACGGGCTAGGGTTTGCATAATCCCCCCCAAATTATACTCGATTCTCTTCTTTTCTTTGTGACTTTTAGCTTTTTATCATTGAAGATTATTTGGTGTTTTAGGCTGAGGCGAGTATGAATGCAGTAGCGCTGAAGAAGTTTGTGGAGGAGAATCAGAAACTGGCTCTGGAGTGCTCGAATCTGCTGGAGCAGTCCAATAGATGGCAGAGGGAGTGCTCATTGTATGATGAGGACCGGGAAGCATTGATGGATTTCGGAAACGAGGTGGAACAGAGAGCCAAGGAGGCTGAGCTACGTGTGCAGGAGTTAGAGGCCGAGGTCGAGAAGTTGGAGGAGGAATTGCGGTTTTACAAGTTTGAGGCACAACAGGTTAGAAGTGATATTCGTTATTTAGTTCTGATGAAATATTTTACTGTGCATGATGGGATTATGGATTTTGAGAAGACAACTTAAATACATAATCAATGACAATTGACAAAGGGTTCTGAATATTAACAATATCTATGCTACCATTTACTCTGTGTAAAAGATCAAAAACCATAATCAACAGGGCTGTAAGGGGACGTTTGGACATTGGATCATGGAATCTCACATTGACTTTGGTGTGCCCCCTTGAAACATTCTCCTGTGCATATTTTCCAGCAAAGCAGCCAGGTTCTCTTTGGTTGAGACTGGGGCGCCGAATACCAACCTGTTTGATACTTTGGTTGATGGTTATCTTTTTTTAGTGATCAAAATAAGAATTTTACAAGAATCCATACAACCTCAAAATGTGAGATCTTTAAAAAAACATCCAATACAAAATTTGATATGACTTTACATATAGAGAAAAGAAGTATTCAGATCTCAAATGTGTACAGAGCATATAATAGGCAAGTTTGCGATTAGAAAACCATCAAAACTCAGCTAATAGTACCAAAGGTTAGCTAATACGTACTGGACATCATTTCCACCTTAGGCTAGACCTATGAACTGCATTACCACTAGGCACAATCACACTAACATATATGTGTGGAGGTGCATTTGACGTGCACATTATTGCCGTGTTCGGTCTGTTAGTTGGTGATCCTTCTTGAAGATAGTTATTTTTAATGGATGTTTGTAACAAAGCTCTCTGTAGAACCAAATTTGTGCCTCGCTGCATTTCCGGCCATGTTAAAGGCTTTCCCCTTTCAATTTCTCTGTAATGTGAGGTGCAAGTGTTTTGGTGATGGAAAAAAAAGACGAGCCTGAGTATGAAACCAAAGATACTGGTATCTTGGCCGCATTCCAAGTAACAAAGTGACTTGACCAACGGGAGAACGGGAGGTCCCACAATGGCCACTAATAGAATTTAGGATGGGATATGGACAATTGGATTGGGCAATAAGACACTTGGGCTGAACCACATTAAAAGATTGAATCCAATCGATTAGTTAGTTCAACTCAAGAGCTTATATCCCGATTATTTTCCTCATACTTTTCCGATGTGGGATACTCTTAACACTCCCCCCTCAAGTGGACAACCGGACCATTTTGAATCTAACCGGTTGACCACTTGCAAATGAACTCCCATTCCCTTGACTTTTTTTTTGAGCGCCAACACCTTAAAGACCACGAGCTGCTGGGTATGGACTTCCAGACGAGCAATCGTGTTAAACGGGCCACAGGCCGTTGGATACATACTCCATACGGACAACTGGGCTAAAGACTAACGTGCCGCTAGAAATGAACGTCTAGACGGACACCTTGACAAACGAGATGGGCCAAAACTTGCTCCGATACCATGATAGAATTTAGGATGGGATATGGACAATTGGATTGGGCAATAAGACACTTGGGCTGAACCACATTAAAAGATTGAATCCAATCGATTAGTTAGTTTAACTCAAGAGCTTATATACCGGATTATTTTACTCTTGGACTTCCGATGTGGGATGCACTTTAACACTCCCCCTCAAGTGGACAACCGGGCCATTTTGAATCTAACCGGTTGACCACTTGCAAATGAACTCCCATTCCCTTTTTTTTTGAGCGCCAACACCTTAAAGACCACGAGCTGCTGGGTATGGACTTCCAGACGAGCAATCGTGTTAAACGGGCCACAGGCCGTTGGATACATACTCCATACGGACAACTGGGCTAAAGACTAACGTGCCGCTAGAAATGAACGTCTAGATGGACACCTTGACAAACGAGATGGGCCAAAACTTGCTCCGATACCATGATAGAATTTAGGATGGGATATGGACAATTGGATTGGGCAATAAGACACTTGGGCTGAACCACATTAAAAGATTGAATCCAATCGATTAGTTAGTTTAACTCAAGAGCTTATATACCGGATTATTTTACTCTTGGACTTCCAATGTGGGATGCACTCTAACAACCACAAATAAGCAAAGGACCCAGGCTCTAAAAGTATCATTCTATCACCAAATACTTCTTTGTTCTATTCATCTTAAAATTTACAGTATCGGATATCCACAAGAAATTGGAAGGAATATAGTGAGTCATATTCCCAACATGTAACATGACGGCTAGTGTAGATTGTGCAGGGTTCAAATGCGAAATTTATATTGAAGGGAAGCCTCTCATTCCCCTTCTCCTTTATTTTATTTCACAAAGATTTGATTTGTGTTCTTGCAAGTGTAGCAGGGGCACTGTGGCAGGACAGGAATACAAGGTGTATAATGATAAAATGGATCAAAATAGTGAACTCAAGAACTTAACTTTTGAAACCCCCTTGATTATGAGGCTCTTCAGTTCTAGGTTTTCGGCCTAGGTTCTCCAAACTCTAGCTCCCTGTAAAAGAAATTTACTAGCAAACAAAGAGGTTCACCCAAACCAAACAGAGCATAAAATAAATTTCTTGAATCTAGTACAATAAAAATACAAACTAGTTAACTATTGAACAACTATCAGGCATTTCACATTCCTTGGGGAGATATATGTAACAGCAACCTGAAGTATCCAACATAGGATGTAAAATTGCAATTGAAATTTGAGACGTTATAATGTTGAAAAGTAAAAAGTGTATGGTCTAAATTTGTTTATAAGAGAGAAATCTTATGAGCCACATTCTTTTTCTCAGTGAGAAAGTCTAAACTTCACTTTGGGACATCCCAAAAAAGGAAGTGCTAACTTCATTTAGGGACCGAGTGACAATTGAAATAGACCATAGAAAAGGAGAGTAAATAGCTGATAGTACCATAGTATATGAGTATGCATCTTTGACTACAATCTTCCTCAAGCATTTCCAAGAATGTAACAACAGTTGTCTATGTATTGTCTAATTGTCAAGCTTCAAAAAGATGTCGATTGATGAATGAAAAAGAATAAGTTGCGCATGTAATTTCTGTGATGTCCTTTGCTTTGATTTTGTTACCGTTACATTGCACGAGTGGCTGTAAGCTCGATTACTAAAACTAAGAAGACTGCAATGTTGGAAATGTGTGTTACTATTTGGCACTGGTCTCTAAAGAGCATCAGAGTTGATTCTTATAGTAGGAATGCAATTAAGATTGGCATGGACCAACTTTTATTAGTTACTTGACTTTTTTATTGCCATAACTTGGAGTTCTATCGTCATACACTCTGACTTTTTTAAGAACAATAAGACTTTTACATTCTGCGAGGAGAATAGTTTTATCACTTGGTAGTTGATATTTGTACAAATTGTTGTCCTGAAGGTTGACACATCTGGAGAAGAGGCTTGTACAGGAAAGGTTTTACTGGAGTCTTTGCTGGGAAGCATAATGAGCCAAGAAGAAGTTCAATTAAAAGCACGTGCTTTTCTAGAGGCAAACAGCAATATTGATGTTTGTCAAAAGTTGCTAAAAGGGTGGAAAAGGTAATCTCTAATGTTAATCCATACTCCCCTTTCCATATATTAACTCTTGGATGACTTTACACATGTTTTAAGAAGGAAGAACTAATGTGGGAGAAACAATATCAATTACATAAATATAGGGATGACAAAAAAGAAAGAATGAAGATAACATATGGACATAGGGAGTATTAGTCTGCCTCCATCTATGTATTGCTATTCACCTATTCGTAAAGTCCCCGAGTGACATTTTTTCTCGTGCTAGATTGAGTCCATCAGCACACAATGCTCTTGCACTGGCAGCTGAAGTCAAAACATTGCAGACAGATAACGCGCAGTTGCTGATTAACCTTCAGAGGGCCGAAGAGGAGGTTTGTAGCTCTATGCAAATGCTAAACTGTCTCATTCCTAGTATGCCGATAGTAACATTCATACTTTTGGGTGTGCGGCAGGTGAAAGTGTTTTTTGAAGAAAACAATCTGTTGGACGAAGAGAACAAAAGGCTAATGCAACACTTTCAGAGGGAGAAGCATAATTCTTGTTCTGGTGGAAAAAGTTCAGGCTGTGCTTCTGCAAAGGTCAGGTTTACAACTAGACGAAAGAAAATAAAACAATACTTTCAGATTTAAACCTGTTTAGTGTAATGGTTTACAGTACTAAATTATAAAACGGTCCATAGGGGAACAAGAGAAAATCAGGTTCCAAGATCAGTACTTCCTTGGACAGAAAGATTGACTTCAATGGAGTCGATTCTTCAAGGCTGCCATTATCACCCCTAAGGGAGAACTCACCTGAGTGCCGAGCATACAAGAAGTAGCTAGAGCCCGGTGAACATCGTGCCCTACCATTCTCCTAACTGGTATGTGTATCATCACTTAGGGTTTCTGCCAATCAACTGTAAGTAATTGATGTTAGTTCCAAAACTCTTCCTTTTCATCTATAGGAAGCTGCCAGGTTCACTTCATTTTCAATTTTGTTCAATGGTTGAACAGTGTGCCATTTTTTACTCATCCTTGCATTATTTCCTAGTTGTTTTACCCTCAGTGTCTTTTCATATTTGATTGCTCTAACTTGTGCCCTTCTGGCACTAGCTTTCATTTATTAAAAAAGCTATCTAATAGCAATATTTAGCCGCAGTACTTTCAAAGTTAATCTCTACCATTAAAAAACAATCCAAAATGCTAACTCTAGTTGAAAACGGTGTTCCAAAACCTTAGGAATCATGATAAAACTTCTCTGAGTTGAGTTGTAATTGTTGTTGTGGAAGCTCTTCAAATATGTTTATTTTTTTTCTTCTTTTCATGATTCTTGTTTGGGTTTGCCTTTGTTGCCTTCTCTATGCCAGCTTTTGGATTTGGAGACTTGTGCAATGTATGATGGATGGGTTTCGACTGTTCTACTCAATCCACACATTTTAACCCCACACAAGAAAAGTGTATTTGTAAATTGTATTTGCAAATTATTTTAGGCTTCAAATTATCACCTTTTGTTTTGAGACATTTAAAATTTGAGTTCACATTCTTTTACGGTAAAAGGTTATCGGCAATATTTATTTCTCTACCTCTTCTATGTGAATCTCAATTTTCATATCATGGATTCATGGGATTAGGTGTGCATTTAGTCATGTGGAAAAAAGAGGGTCGCAATAAACAAAAACACTAACTAGTGTGATTCTTTTAAGAAAAGAATTACTCCTTTTGTCCTTAAATAATATTCTTATTTTGAATTATGATGTTTGAATATAATTATTTTTAATTTATTTTGAGTTAGTGAGCATACAAGAAGTGGAGTACAAGAGTTATTTTAGCTAGTGAGCATAAAGTAAGGCCATGTTCTCCTCAACTTATTTTTTACTTATTACTTATTCTAATTGAATACATATTAGATCAGAAATAGCTTTAAATATAACTACATTTAGATCAGACCAGATCAAATCACAACTTATTCCAATCAAATAAAAAACAATCAGATCAGGTGAAGAGAACATGGTCTAAGAGTCTTTCCTCCTTCCTAGACTCCTAGTGTATAGAACAAGAGAATAAGACACTTATTTTAGTTAGTGAGCATATAATAAGAGAATAAAACACCTACGAATAATGGTTAACATGCTTTTAGTTATTGTCTTAGTAGATAGTAAGTGCTCTCCTGTTCTAGTATATTTATGGAGCATTTTTTGGATTGTTGGTGTATTTGACTTCAAAAGTCCTGGGCTAGACTTCATACTACAAACTTCAATTATCAAATTCCAATATTTAGATTGAAAAAAATTGCTCTCAAATAACAATACTTTCTCAAAAGATAAATATGAGAGGAACAAAATGTGTAGAAAAATAAGAGAATCAACACACAAGAATCCTTTTACATGANGAAGACTTGGGGCCACACTTACACAAAAGAGTAAGGGAAATCCTTGGTTCACAAACTCAAACTTCACAAACTTACTATTTGTAAACTTTAATAAAGAAAATTAAATAGTCTAAAATAATTTTAAAATGAGAATTTAAACCATAAATAGTAAATTTGTGGAGTTTGTGATCATTTTGTTTGTGAACGTAACATTATGCAAAGAGTAATAGTAATACTGTAATACTCTATTTATAGAATTGCATCTTTCATTATTTTGATTCATTCTCTTTTCAATCACACGCCCATGTCACATCACATATTTTGTTTCTTTTTATTTGTTTATTTTCTTTTCTTTTCTAGTCTAAAAATAAAATAAACTCTAACATAATTAATATTTAGTAGATGGGATTTTACTTATAATTATTATTACATCCAAATTTTATACTCCTTCCGCCCTTGAAAATACTTCATTTTGACCAAATGCCAAAATAAAGAAGTGTAAAATTGTAGCTGACTTCCAATTTTGTCCTTAATGTGATAGGTAAATGTAAAATGTGATAGATAGCTTATAGGAAAAAAGTATAATGTAATAGGTAGGGTAAGAAAATGTAAGAGTAAAAGTGGTTTTTAAATAGAAAGTAGAATTGTTTGGTGGAAGAGAAAAAATGAAAAAAGAAATGTTTTAGTGAGCGGTATTTAATTTTCATTTTTTAATTTTTTGGAAGCTTAATTTAAATTTTTAAAATTATTCTCTACCTCCATCATTTCCATTTTTTTAAAGATTAGTCTAACTTTGGATAAAAAATCGATATAAAAAATTGGGAAAATGAGAAAAAAAACTAAAATCATACAAAGCTAATGAAAAAAGTAATAATCAATAAAAATTAACCTGAAATTGGTAAGAAATAAAATAAAAATATATGGAGTGGAGGGTTTTAACATCTTACACACTATACAGAGTATTCATGTATTACTTTTTTTTAAGAAAAATTATCTAGAATAATTCTAACTTTACCTGTTTAAAAAAAGTAGTACATTAAAATTTTGTAGAGTGTGTAAAATGTTAGAGCACTCCACTCGTTATATTTTCATTTTGTTTCTTTTCAATTTAAGTTTAATTCTTATTGATTACCTTATTTATTAAATTAATTTTGTATGGTTTTGGTTATTTTTCTCAATTTTGATATTTTTATATTTATTTTTTTTATTTTTACAAGATAAGAATAATATTTAAAAAAGGAAAAGAAATTGATCTAGAAAGTTATTTTAATAATTTTAATAAATGGCGAATTGGTGTAAGAAAAGTGTGTGTACACCATAACTTGTAATAAGAAAAGTATGAAATTAGTGGAATCTGATATAGAGGTAATGTGGAGAAGAGAGAGATGATGCTGTAAAAAAGGTATGAAGGGTATGTTCTCCCTCGTACAATAACATTTTTAAAAACAAATACTAGTGTAAAGCCTCTTTTTATTGGAACAAAGAGCACTTGTATTTTGTACAAAAAAGCACCTCTATGTTGCTATTAGAGGGCAATGATACTATGATATGACACCTAAAATGGAGTACTCCATTTGTAACCTAAAATTTACAGACATGCATGGTTTTTTAATGTATGTGTGGCATAGACATTGAGAATCTTTGTATTGTGAATGCCTATGTACAAATGATTAAATCATTCCATTTGTACAAGAAGCTAAAAAAAACTTGAGGGCCCTTCAAAAAAAGATGAGCCACATTTCTGAGGGCCTTCTGAGACCTGTCCAGACAATAACTGAGCGAAAGTAAATTATACTTTGATTGCAAATTAGAGGCAAAAAGTGGAGTCTGAAGCTGGTACCTGCAGAGATCTTATTATACTTTGCTAGGAATCGAACTCAAGTATTACTTTGTTGCTTTATATTATACTTTGTTGCCTCCAAGCACAGGATTAGCTGATTGCTGTAAGTTATACTTTGTTGCCTCCAAGCACAGTTGCTAGGAATCGAACTCAAGTATTACCCTTTTAGCACTTCTTGTCTTGCCAACTGTGCAACACCCACCTATCTGAGAGCCCTACAAAACTAATTGAACAGTCAACGAAGAAAGAGTAAATACTCAAAATAGTGCTTCACAAGAGGTCTAAAAAGAATGAAAGCTCAACACTAAGGTCATGTTTTCTTTAACTTGTTCTTATTAATTATTATAGCTTTGAATCAAATTAGATCAGATAAGAATTTATTTCAATCAAATTAAAATCATTCAAAAACAGGTGAAGAGAATATGACGCAACTAATTCGTCAACAACATATTTCCAATAAAAATGGAAACTTTTGAATTGGGCAACCTCTTTTTTTGTTTAGTAATAATTGGGCAACATCATATTGTCAACAAAATTTGAAACTTTTGTTCGTATGCAATTCGTTTTTTTAACTTTAGCTGGTTGTTTTGCATTTCATTTGTACAGGTGCAAGTCATGAACTTGATAAGAATCAACATTCTTCCATTGAACTCCCTACGTCCCAATTTATAGCGTCTGTTTCGGTTTACGATGTTTGATTGAAATTATTTTCAAATCATTTTATATGACAAATGGTATATAATTAAAAAATGAAAATTACGTATCAAAATATATACTACATCAAAAGATCTACAAAACTAGTAGTGACAATAGTACTTTATTTTATCAAATTGCTAACGAAAATAATGAAAGAAAGTAAATCAAGTTTGATCATTGAATAGTGAACATGCACTATAAATTGAGACGAAGGGAGTACCAAATTAATACAAAATTTGAAAAAAGTATTAAAAAATAAAAAGGAAGTGATTGAATTTTATTTTAAAGAAAGAAAGATTGTAGATCACATACGGAGTATTTTTTTACTTTATTAGGTAAATATATATATAGAAATAGAACAATTATTTTTGGATAATATAGATTAAAAAGAAAAGTAAGATAATTAAAAGACTACTCTACTGAAATATTCCCTATATTCTCAAAAAGAAATTCTCATTTTTTTTCCACGGAGTTTTAAAAAAAATAATTTGTACAGAAAAAGTTTATACAAATGAGGAAAATATTGTGAACAATTTATTTATTTTTCTAAATGGGGCTGAGACACTTGGGAAAAAGTTGGAAATTATTTTAGAGACAAATGAGAGAACAGGTCTCTTTACATGATACTCCGTAGAAATCTTATAAACGTATATTTGATGCTCGTACTATTTTCCAATAATAGGAGCATGCACTCATTGTTGAGAAGGTATACCTAGAGATAAGTAGATCTGGGTAGTACTCATTCTAAAGTAGATTAGTACTCATTCCAATTCTCACATAAATATAATTAGCATGGTACTCATTCTAAAATGATACAGTACTCATTTTCGTACATTGGTTCAATATAATTATAATATTCATTAACAAATAATGTAGTGTTCATTCTGAAACAAAACAGTACTCATTCTCAAATAACTTAGTGTTCATTCTCATATAAAATAAAACTCATACCATAAATAATTTCTTGGCTGTACCCAAAATTGGGTACAACCGGATGTATAATATAATTTGCCCTTATTGTTTGACTTTTTTTAAGTGCCATTGTGTTTTAAAAGGGTGGAACGCCCGTCCAGGTCTCTCGGGCACTCCCACACCCCGACCCAACAAGATTGTAAGAGAAAGGGGTATAAATCATGGTATCATCTTAATCTGATCCTTGGAGAGGTCGTTCTGTGCCCGGTACGCACAAAAAACTATTACAAATAATAGAACATTCACGCTGTGGTTGTCAGGATACGACCCTATAATCAACGGGTTTTACATCCTATCCTTGGACCAGTTGAGCTATCTATGCAGGCCTATTATTGTGTTTTAAGAAGACTTGACAAAGGGTTCAATGGTGTCCCGTATGAGTTAAGTGTAATTCGAGTGGAGTGATATTTGGATAAATAAATTTTAGTGTGTTCAAGTCTGGTTGGGGCCATTGGGCACCATATGTAAGAAAATTGTATGGAGCAAGAACGCTACGGAGTAGCGTTAACAAGGAACTTGATAGAGTATAACGAATCACG